TCGGGGGGGGGGGATATGACTCTTGTTTATTTAAAGGATCTTATTCAAATTTTAACCAAATATCCCTTGACATTCATAGCATCCATCCCGGTATGCTCTATCACAGGTTTTTGCTTAAGTTACTATAATAGATCATCTGTCCATTCCCTAGGCTTGCATTCATAGCAACACATAGGGACAGATTTTCTCTCTGCTTCCTGATGATAAGATATAAAGTAAACCATGCGTATAAAACATAGAAGTTACCCTCCAAAGAGCTTAAAGCATTAGCAAAGCAGATTATTTTTCCCAGTGGTGTGTTCCAACAAGCCAGGTACTCGCACAACATTAGTGTAAAGAACAGAAATTCACTTTTAGAAGCATCCGTGAAGCCAAATAGCAGCTTTTAAAATGTCTTGTAGGTGGCTGCTTATTAGTAAAAGCCCTCACCAGTAAGGGAAAGGAGGCCCCTCTCTCTAAACCAAGTGGCTTAAGCTCCTTCTGGAGAAATAAGAAAACAAAGATGGCATGATGGGAAGAGTTTAGTAAAACACAAGTGATTTTATTTTAAAAAATAACACGAAAAATATCAGACCAATGCAATGAAGAAAATAGTAATCCCCTGTGGTTTTTGTGATGCAAAAAGTGACACTTTTTTAATTATCATGAGGATCATAATCTGCAATCCACTAGCAAAGAAGGACCTGACATTTGGAAAGGTTAAGTATCAGTTGGGACATCCATTTGCTCATCTGATTTCAAATTCAATCATCTGTTTCATCAAAAATGAAACAAGAGGCTGAAGTGCCATAGGTCTAGAGAGAAATTTATCTAAATGCTGCCAACACCTGGCACTTTGACTCCTGAAAGCCCCAGCTGCCAGTCCCTGGAGAAGGCAAGTATTCAATCAGACCCAGCCACAGGGGAAACTCTTCCTCCTGGGGACAAAAACTCCTGGGGGACCCTACTGTGTCACATAAAAGTGAGATGCTTCTTCTTTAATATTATGATACATGTTCCCTCCCTCTAGTATTTGTCTTAGAATCTCACTCACCTGCAGAACCCCCCAGAATTTCTTGTTGTAAACATGTCTGTGAATCTCCTTTATTAAAGCAAGACCTCTGTGAGATAGCTTTCTCAGCTTCTTTGCCTGTTCCCCAGCTTGTATTATGTGGAGCTTCTTCTGCCTGTAATTCAAAACATGGAAAATTCATCAGATGAAAGAGACTTCAGAAAGTCCTACGCATCTTGTCCTACCTGGATATTGTGACATGGCAGTGGGAAAACCAGAGGTATCAGGACACATGGCAGCTGCCATGGGAATGAAGAAAAACAGCCAGGTGCTGAGCTATAGAGGACGGGCAGCAATGGTGGACAAATAGAGGGTTGCCAGGGGAGAGAGACAGATGATAATTATCATGAGACCAATTCATGACCAGCAGTTAATTCCTCATGAAGGTGAAGTCATCCACCATTCCACACATATTGTGGCAGAAAAGCCCTGTTGCTTGCACAGTCCTGTGGCCAAAATGACTAAATTATGTTTCTCACAAGGTAATTGTTAACTTTGCCTATCACAACTGACATCACTAATATAAACAAGAAGACGATGTCAATACATTTAAAAACCATGAAAGAAAAACTGAATGAAACAACTGTACAGATGACAAATCCTACAACTTGCACCATGTCAGTCAAACATGAATGGATTAAATTAAGATTAGGTGAAATTAGCTCCATACTGATTGTTTGTTTGTTTGCAGTATTGTAGATTGAACACTGGGCCTTCTCCAGCACATATGTCCTTACACACACACACACACACACACACACACACACACACACATACACAAATACATAAATACGTATATACATTTATTTAATTTTGAGGCAGGATAGCTCTAAGTTTCGAGGTAGGACTTGAGATTGTAGTCCTCCTTCATCAGCTTCCCAGAGTGCTGGAGTTACAGGACTGTACCACCGAATCTGGCTACCATCCATACCCTGGAAGAACATAAACACAGTGAAGGCAAAATCAAACCTAGGGGAAACATAGTGACAAGGGATAGAGAGGTAATTACCAAGAATAGGGTAATCTCAAACACATCCAAAACATAAATTGCACCTGTTTTCACTAAAGTAAGAAATGTGGCAGAATGGTTATGCAGAAATAGGAACAGAGATTCCAGTTAAACCTGTAGAAAGAAAGGGGCAGACACAAGACAGTGAGAAAACCAATGCATTGTTTTAAAGTTTGTCCCTTTGTTCAAATTCCACTTGTTTACTTAATCGCCCTATGACTCAAAAAACTTATTCAGCTTCTCATTGTCAGTTTTATTTTTGTATCAGAGCTCAAGGAAGGTCTTTATAGGAGAAGAATAAATGAGATTACTGAACAACAATGTAATTCCTTACTCATTATCTGCTTAAAATTATTAGCTAGTCTTACCCATGTATCTCACTATGTGTATTTATGCATGTGTATTTCCACACATGTGTGTATTTGTATAGCCTCTAAGAATACACATGTCATTAACAATATTTATCACTTAGTAATAAAATTTGAACATTTCCCCCTATGTAACAAATTATTTCAACATTCACCATTTATGGCTTTGTTTATTTATTATGTAAATTTTGAGAAAGCATTTAACAGCCAAAGTTTATTCCTGTTAGTTTTACTTGTTTTCCTGGTAAGAATTGCTGTAAAGATTAAAGTAAAAAGCACAACAATGACAACAAAGGAAAAATTATTTAGAAACTCATTTTTCTTTATACTATTTTTTTAAAACACCAGTGGACTTATGTAGAGGTTGTACCTTATTTGAATTTCCATACTTTGGCTCTTGGAAGAGTCTTTTGTAAAAGAGAAGTTATTCTTTCATTTTCCTTTGGTTCATGAAAGACTTGTCTGGGGCTGCATTGTTCCTTGTTACATTTCAGAGTGATTCATCCTTTGAATAGGCCTTGAAGTTCCAAACTCTGTAAAGCAAGTGTGTCATTTTTTTCCATTAATTTTTCCTCAGGGTTTGCGAAGCTCTATGTATGTGCTGTCCACCTGGATCCTATTTTCTGTACTCTGCTGAAGGCAGTTAGAAAGCACCTGAAGGACCTGACCCTATTTTAGAGAAGCCAAATCACCAGGACAAATAAAGTGAGTCCTTTGGGAGTGAGAGACAGGTGCAGCATTCGTGGACAAATAGAGCAAAGCTTTTTAGATGGAACTTAAAGAGAAAGTGGTCATTTCCACAGCATGTGTTGCAGTTCTCTCAATCAGCGGAAGAATGCATGTGGTTTAAATTATTTCATGAGAAAATGGCAGTGATAATTAATGATGGTCCTTTCAGCTCTCGGTTGGACATGCAAAGCATGAACATGAATTCTTAGAAATAATTCGAAAATGCAGAAATACCTTGGCATATACAGTGTTGGTATTTGGAGTCATACATGTATATAGTTTAAAAAAATAGGATATATGATAACATTGTAAAATAAGAATATTACATTGTTATTGTGTGACACAAAAACAAAATGACAGGTATATACACTATAGTTGCATTGAATATACATAAAATTATGACTCAGACCTAAGGCAATGGTGGTAAAACTGGATCTTAAAAACCAATAATTTTCAACTACACAAAAATCCACACGAACTAGATCTGCTGAAAATAAAAAGAGGAAAATATACCATGGACACATCGAGCCAAAGAATATTTTAAGGCACTCGTTACAAAAGATGAAATGGGACATTTCATTATGAATAAATTATCAATTTCATAATAACATAATATGATTATTTTAAACATGGATGCACCTGATGGCACAACTGAAAACACAAAGGCAAGGATTATGTAATTGAAGGAAAAACAGAAACATTTGCTATAATAGTAACTGACAAAAACAGATTAAGGTACTGGGATTCAGACAGTTACAAAGATGTCAAAAACTTGATTTTATCCTGAATTAGAACCACGGATACAAAGAAGCAGACTACATATTCTTTTTTGAGTGTGCTGGCAAAATTTGACAAAATCTGTCACATTCCAGGAAAGAAAGCAAGCACCAGTTAAACCAAAAATACTAAAATCACGCAGCATATATTTTTAATTTTATGGAATTAAAATAGGCCTTGGTGTCAAAGAGGAACCAAAATGTTCACACTATATGGAATATAATCCACAAGCCCCTCAACAACCCTTGAACCAACTGGGGTGTCACAATGACGGATTATAGTTTAGCTGAATGGTGATGGAAATAGGACATAAAAATTTCTGAAATCTGCTTACCGTAGTGTTTTTGCAGGAAGATTATTACCTGAGGGCTGTTATTAGAACAGGAAAAGAGCTAAAAATCAATAATTTAGATTCCATATTAAAAGATAATGAAAGAACAACAAATTAAGCTCTAAGATCAAAGAAACATGTTAAAAACAAATAAATTCGAAGAAATTTAAAAAGGAAAATAACCTGACAATAAATTATTTTAGTTCTTTAAGATAAGTCAAATTGAGCCAATTTTAGCAATACCAAAGGCAATGAAAAAGAAAATGTGAATGAATAATCGACATCA